TTAGAACAAAAGGAAAGTGTACGGAGTATTTTAGAGGTGTACTTAATCGATCGCAAATGTCGTTTTGTGGATATATCTGTTTATCTCGACGTATTTTGCAGGAATTTTTAGCATGCGTTTTCTCGCTTCTGACGTCATTAAAAAGAGATGGATGACGCGACTCCCCAGGAGCCTTAAAATCTTTCATATTATCGCGAAATCGTAAATTTCGCATAATTAATCAAAATCATTCACTGATAGAAGAAATCTCGGAAGAAATCTCAGAAGAAATCTCGGAAGAAATCTCGTTAGCAAGTACAATTATAGTTGGCATGATCGTTTGTAGACCGTGTTTTAAAAGTGACTAAACGACCACGGTGCGATATAAAACGCGAAGTTATTAAGCTCAAGAACGGTTCGATATTACCGCGAAGTAATTTAAATCGTCGGCTATACTCTGTCGAGGTACTGGTGATCAATCACGATAGCGCCAGCAGTCCGGATAGTTCAACAACTGGCTCGACCGGCTCCGACAACAACAAGACGTATCTTCGGGGTCATAATATCCCAGTGGACGCGGACATCCTTCAGGAACGCGAGGCGAGACGGCAGAAAGCGCTGCAGCTTCAAAACGCAATTAAGCAGCAGCTCGAAGAGAAGGATAGGCAGAGGAAAGAGGAGAAGGAGCGGCGGATGAGAGAGGAGAGACTGGAGGACGAGCGGATCAGGCGAGAGCAGGAGAAGGAGAAGGAGAGGCAGGTTTTAACTAAAAGAACTCTGAAAAGAACTCTGAAAAATACTCCAAATGATCTAACAATCGAAAATTTGAATGTTACATAATTTTTTACGACACTTATCCATCGCAGATTCGAAGAAGAACAACGGCTGATACGCGAGAAGGAAACCGCGAAGCTGAAGAAGGCCCAAGCGATGCGCGAAGTGCTGGAGGCCGCGGAACGGTTGGCCCGGGAGGAGAAGAAGAATCGCCGAAAACGAGAGGACCACACGGACGAGGACACCGACGTGACGCAAACGTCGTCCTCCGTCGGCTTGAACATGATCGTGAACGCGGACGACAAGCGTGAGCAGGATCATTCGCAAACTCAAACACGAGCCACAAACTTGATCCCCGACTATTCCACGAACGAGAAGCCTGATCCAAAGAATACGAAGGAGACTGAGAGGCAGTCTCATGAGAGCGAGAAGATCAGAGACGACAACAGGGAGCAAAAGATGAACAAGTCGGAACAGATCGCGCTGGACCCGCGAGAATCCCTCCAGGTGCCCGTGAGCAAGGACGTGGCGATCGTGCTGAGCGGCCGACTCGACGACCCGGAGATCTTGAGCAGGGCGAACCTGCAGCTAGTGAACCTGCAGCTAGTGACACCCAGCCCGCGTCGATTCGACAACGCCACAAGGGGCCTCTCGTTGGGGCTAAGCACGATCATGAAGAACAACGTGGCCACGATGCTGAGCCCGAGGAACCCGAGACGTTGCTCGCCTCGATCAGACTCCGCGTCGATCGTCGTAGAGAACAGGCTGTTGACGCCGAGCAAGTACCGAACATCGGCCGGACGGGACTTCGGCACGCAGACGGACGTGGAGTCCGACCTGCAGGAGCTGCGCGACAAGCTGCAGGACTCGTCGATCAGGGAACACGGCGGCACCGCGAAGGACAGGAAGGACACGACCAACGCCAGCCGAAGAAACGTTGAAAAGTGAGTCGCCAGCGCGCAGATTCCCGTCGCGTTCCCACTGGCTTCTCTTAGAGAGGCCGTACGACGAGCGTGTTCTCTCCCCCGCATGCTGTCTGGTAATTATCCCCTTTATTTTATAGCGTATAGTTTGACGATAAGAGTAACTGAACGTAAAGACGCTTTCTCGCGAAATATCTGTCTGTCCGCGCATCTCTCTCGAGGACATCGTCCAGTAAGTGTGTGCGAGTGTTCTCGATTGTTTCCACGGAATGGAGTGCTCTTCAGCTTCGTTCGCTTTTTGTTCATCACGTTATTCGATGATATCGAGTTTTCGTCCAGTCGGACGCTTGAAGTTGCTTGCCGCCTTGAATTTCTTATGATTTACTTCACACTCAGATAATTCGTTATGATTTTTTTCGCCTGGCGTAACGGCACGTGCTTCCGACTCTTTTCTTTTTTTTTCATTGAAATGCTACAGCGCTGTGTTGTGATCGTTTGAAGGTCCACCAACATGGGCCCAGGCGAGGAAGTCGGCATGAAAGCGCTTCCGCGATCCAAGTCGCAGCCGAGAACCACGCTCGACGCCAGACCACGGTGGAACGCCAATCGGTAATGCCGAAACGAGACTAACACCTGACACTCGAATTATTTTCAAAAACACCCAAGACCGGAGTGATGCCACCTCGAAAATGACCAAAGGTATACTCTTAGCCCAGGTACGCGATATCGCACACAAAGCGAGAAGGATCCGCACTATCAGAGACGATTGCGGCTCAGGAGACGACGGGTCGAGTCTAGCGACGAAGGATCCAGGTGAGGCAAGTTCAGCGAGACGCGAAATTGAATTATTGAGGCTCCTGGGGAATCGCATCATCCATCTCTTTTTAATGACGTCAGAAGCGAGAAAACGCATGCTAAAAATTCCTGCAAAATACGTCGAGATAAACAGATATATCCACAAAACGACATTTGCGATCGATTAAGTACACCTCTAAAATACTCCGTACACTTTCCTTTTGTTCTAACAATCAACAGATAATTATAAAATAAATGTGACGTGCAATCGTCTTTTCTAACCTAATTTCCTCATTATCTTGTCATATTAATTTTCCGATTATCTATTGATTTTTAGAACAAAAGGAAAGTGTACGGAGTATTTTAGAGGTGTACTTAATCGATCGCAAATGTCGTTTTGTGGATATATCTGTTTATCTCGACGTATTTTGTAGGAATTTTTAGCATGCGTTTTCTCGCTTCTGACGTCATTAAAAAGAGATGGATGATGCGACTCCCCAGGAGCCTTAAAGATCTAAAATCCAACGAATTTCTGCAAATCCCACAGAAAAATAAAAATTAACATAAATCTACAGGACACTCAGTGTGGGCACCCTGTATGTAAATAAGAAAAGAGTAAAAATGCAATTATGAGATCACATTTTTATCACGAGCAGATCGCCGTCCCCTGAACGGCGGAAATCGAACAACTGCAAGTCCAAGAGCCGAAACGCGGTGAGACGCAAAGCAAAACTCGAGAGCTACGACGCCGACCTGTCGATGGACAGTCTGAACTCCATCGTGCCGCTACGAATCGACAAGAACGGGAAGATCAACATAGAGGACTGTCGTCGGCGAGATCGCGTCGAGAAAGCACGATCAATGGACAACGCTCGCGGCGATGTGAACCGCGCGAAATGCTCGGATAACGATAATCCTAATCTCTGGTGCGGCCATGAAATATTGTCCAAGCTGTCGTCGTTGAAGAGCGTAAGTGATGAAAAATTATCGTGGATATATCGATACTTGAAAGGAAACGCGGAATTTTGTATTTCTTGGGATTCTCCTCGAGAGCAAAAATTATACGATGAATTGATCATCTCATGGCGTCTCGCTATATTCCTGAGGACATGTCTGTATTTCGTTTCAGGGACTGTTGATGAAGCAAATCCAGTGGGACTCCGAGCGATGCCTGGTCTCGCCCGCTGCGTCCGAAATCTTTTAAGCGCCGGGAGAAAGAGAACGTTGCCGTTGGAGCGGCTTTTTGTTTTTCTTTTCGTTTGCATGGAAAGTGAGATCGAGTAGAATGTGCGATGGGGGCTTTTTACTGTGAAACACCGTTTGCTCGTTCCATGAGGATCGCAAGGGGGCCCGGCGAAGAACTCAAACGTCTTTTTCTCTGTCGCGTTGCAGATCTAGATAATGGCCTTCCAACTGGACGATCTGCTGAGGGACGACAAGAAAGACGCGAACCTGATACCCGACTTGAGCAAGGCGACTTGTAACTCTTCTGAGGAATTCCGGCGACTCAAGGAGCACTGCCCCGAGTTCAAGATCAAGCCGGAAAAGGTTCGAACCTTCTAATAATAACGCACGAAGTTATATGTCGGGGATCACGATCGATGTGGTAAATGAAGGAAATTACGTGAAGGTAAAGAGAGAGGACGCGAAGGTTCGAGACAAGGAATTTTCTTGGAGAGCCACCAAAAAGGAGCTCAAAGCTAGGGAATGGACATACGGCGACCCAGTGCCACCGGACATGAGGGAATTGGATCTGCAGGAGTTGCAGCAGGTCGCTATCGACTGGCGAATGCTGACCCCGATCAGACCAAAGCTTCGTCAGGACGAGGAAATGTTCTCGAGATTGGTAATTGATTCGCGCAATCACATCGATATTACCGGATCTTTAGTGTTAGACGTGATTCTCGAATTTCCTACACGGAGAAAATTGCTATAGTTGCTACATCCACATATTCTTTGGTGGAGACAAAATGTGACTTCGTTAAAAGTTGTAATTAATTTCAGAATTTTCGTCACTTATAGTTCTGAAACTGTTTCATGTAGGAATAAAAAAATATAAATTTGAATAATATTACACGTAGTTGGCGTACTAAATATATGGCCAATTATTGATCCTTTCTTATGGTTTCAAGGTGGAGATGGGCAAGCTGGAGGCGAAGACCGTGATGAAGGAACGGCGTTCGCCGACGAGCCCCATCAGAAGAAACAAGAATCGCGCCGGCATAATCGAGAGTAGCGTGAAGACCTGTCGGGAATGCGGCGAGGAGTATTGTTTCGGCGAATTTTGCGGGGATGTTCTTTACGACTCCTTCGTGAGGGTGACGATCGCCACCCAGCAGCCGAAGATCAAGGTGTCCGCCGACACCGAGGCCATAATCGCGAACATGGACCGCAAGAAGAAGCGGAAGAAGACGAGAAAGAAGAGAGTCAAGAGCAAGAGCAGAAAGTCCGCCCGGCTCTTGGTCAACAGCAAGACTAGGAAGTCGAGCGACCTTGAGACTAGGAGCGCCAAAGCGTCCAGGACTCAGGACGCCGGCGGGCAAAGCGAGAAGCCGGCGAAGCAGTTCAAGAGGAAGTGCAGTAAATACACGAAGAAAGGCCTTTTGCGCAAGTGATCGCAATTGTAAATTAATAGGACAAATAAAAAAAAAGGACTCTAAAGATATATACTGTACAATATATAATCCGTTATCCTGGTATATAAGTGTGTGTGTAAAAAGCCTCTGGACAATTGTGAAGAGACGTATTGATAATTGTCATATAAATTCGTTCGATAAATTCCTTAATATTAAGCCAATGAAGATAAAACGCGGAAACCGAACACACAATTAGAACATTAAATTTGACGCGAATGAATATTCGAAACGTCTCACCTGTGTATCTGAGAACAGATTCAGACGCGGTGTCCTAAGTGAATTAAAAGTAGATGAGAATCGCGCACGAGCGCGACTGCATTTCGGATTATACAATGTAAGAAACGACGAGAAAGGCGAGACGAACGAAGAGAATACGATCAGTCGGCAAATAAATGGGAGAACAGATTCGCAGTCCTTTGGATTTTATTAACTGTCCGTATATGTACTCTCTGTGTGGTCCCTCGACACGACAAGCGCTGACACTCTTATCCGAAGCGTTTTGCGCAAAAACAAAAAAAAAGGATACGATACATCGCTCCCAAACAATAGAATACAACAACGGATAAATATACAAGTATATGTATATAAATCGACGCGATAGAATCTAGAAGACAGGCGCAGTGAATGCTCCCAATTGAATGCTGGAAAAATATAACTTTTATTCAGTTTGTGTCTCTCTCTCTTTTTTCCCTCCTTCTTTATTTCTTTCTCTCCTGTCTTTGTCTGTCTTAAGATTCGTATTCCACTGCTCTCGCACACTTTCTTTTTCGCCATAAATATCACAACCGAAAAGCATTTTCGCGGTCGCGAGAAATGTTCTGTCGCCGTCTCTGTACGGGGTAAGAATGCGAAAATATATATTTATGTATACATATATATATGTATGTATATATATCTTTCTCTCTTGTGTTTCTCACAAATATAGAATATATCTCGAATATATATCGCGCGGTTTCTCGAATTTTGCCATGGGAGAATCCGCGTGTTATTAATAATATTGTCCGCGCGCGCGCGATTCGCGAAAACAGAATATTTCTCGTCAATTGCATATTTCCTCCTCCTCCACCTCCATTTCCGTTTCGCGTCGGTTTATATTCTCTCGGTTCGCGCGCTCAGCGCTAACGCTCACATAAACTAACGATAAGATTTAAGTTAATCGAGATATACACGCATTTTACACGACGTAGGTATGTAACATAAATGTATAGTATATGTATATTTATATATATATATATATATAGTAGATTTTTTTAATATTAATTTTTCGCACACTATGTCGTGGTCGCGACAAGCTCTCGGTGAATAAAATAAATTACGTGTGTAACTATTTCATTATATATATATATATATATATATATATATATATATATATATATATATAT